ACAATGACCCTGTCTACATATCACCTGCACAACAATGACCCTGTCTACACATCATCTGTACAACAATGACCTCGTCTACACATCACCTGTACAACAATGACAGTGTCTACACATCACCTGTACAACAATGGCCCTGTCTTCACATCACCTGTACAACAATGACAGTGTCTACACATAACCTGCATAACAATGGCCCTGTCTACATATCACCTGCACAACAATGACCCTGTCTACACATCATCTGTACAACAATGACCCCGTCTACACATCACCTGTACAACAATGACAGTGTCTACATATCAACTGTACAACAATGACACTGTCTACACATCACCTGTACAACAATGACATTGTCTACATATCAACTGTACAACAATGACCCTGTCTACACATCACCTGTACAACAATGACACTGTCTACGCATCACCTGTACAACAATGACACTGTCTACACATCACCTGCACAACAATGACAGTGTCTACACATCACCTGTACAACAATGACAGTTTCTACACATCACCTGTACAACAATGATCCTGTACACACATCACCTGTATAACAATGACCCAGTCTACACATCACCTGCACAACAATGACCTTGTCTACACATCACCTGTACAACAATGACACTGTCTACACATCAACTGTACAACAATGGCCCTGTCTACACATCACCTGTACAACAATGACACTGTCTACACATCAACTGTACAACAATGACACTGTCTACACATCAACTGTACAACAATGACACTGTCTACACATCACCTGTACAACAATGACCCTGTCTACACATCAACTGTACAACAATGGCCCTATCTACATATCACCTGTACAACAATGACAGTGTCTACACATCACCTGTACAACAATGGCCCTGTCTACACATCACCTGTACAACAATGACCCTGTCTACATATCACCTGTACAACAATGGCCCTGTCTACACATCACCTGTACAACAATGACAGTGTCTACACATCACCTGTACAACAATGGCCCTGTTTTCACATCACCTGTACAACAATGAGTGTCTACACATAACCTGCACAACAATGACCCTGTCTACACATCATCTGTACAACAATGACCCTGTCTACACATCACCTGTACAACAATGACAGTGTCTACACATCACCTGTACAACAATGGCCCTGTCTTCACATCACCTGTACAACAATGACAGTGTCTACACATAACCTGCATAACAATGGCCCTGTCTACATATCACCTGCACAACAATGACCCTGTCTACACATCATCTGTACAACAATGACCCCGTCTACACATCACCTGTACAACAATGACCCCGTCTACACATCACCTGTACAACAATGACAGTGTCTACATATCAACTGTACAACAATGACACTGTCTACACATCACCTGTACAACAATGACACTGTCTACATATCAACTGTACAACAATGACCCTGTCTACACATCACCTGTACAACAATGACACTGTCTTCGCATCACCTGTACAACAATGACACTGTCTACACATCACCTGCACAACAATGACAGTGTCTACACATCACCTGTACAACAATGACAGTTTCTACACATCACCTGTACAACAATGATCCTGTACACACATCACCTGTATAACAATGACCCAGTCTACACATCACCTGCACAACAATGACCTTGTCTACACATCACCTGTACAACAATGACACTGTCTACACATCAACTGTACAACAATGGCCCTGTCTACACATCACCTGTACAACAATGACACTGTCTACACATCAACTGTACAACAATGACACTGTCTACACATCAACTGTACAACAATGACACTGTCTACACATCACCTGTACAACAATGACCATGTCTACACATCACCTGTACAATGACCCTGTCCACATATCACCTGCACACCATCAGTATCGTCCACGCATTACTTGCACCCAATTTACACTAGCTGGGTTTGACACTAACTTTGGACCAGGACACTAAGTCTACTGAAATGTGTGAGTTCAGTTCTACTCAATCCAGTGAGTAACAGACTGCTGGTCTACCTAAAAATTTCAATTGAAATCATGTAAGTAAATAACCATTAAAATGAGATACAATTATTTCCATTATTTACCATTAAATCTTATGATAATCTGGACTCCATCATGAAATTTTACACACATTATATAATTTTTAGCACTAAACCGTAATTATGTGTCCATCAGTCATAGTTGAATTGATTGCTGCTATATCAAATTTTGTATTCAAGAATATTACAAATGTCACGGATTGCAGACATTAATGCTCTTGTTTTTGCAAAAATCCTGTTGTTACCTGTGTGAAGCATCTCACTGATTATGATCACAGCAAAATGTGAAAATGCTTAGGAGTTTCTCCAACAAAAATAAAAAAACAAAACTAGGCAAGAAAGCTATTCAACATATAAAAATGGTGATTTCGAAAAAATTTGGAATTACAAGAGAGATCTTTCCAAAGATCCTGTGTTGGGATGTTTCTTTTGACTTCAATATGATGAATGAGAAGATAAGAAGTCATGTTCTATGTGTTCATGATATAATACTGATGATACATTTGTGACTGAAATGTCAAAATTGAAAACAGATACAATAAAAATATAATGAATCATAAGAATGTCACAAGGAAAAAACCTTCAAAGGAAATTGTAAAGAAAATACCAGAGAGCCAATCAGTAGCTGAACAATCACTAACTATGATGAATAAAGCATCTGTAGATACAATGAAGTATCAAAAGATTCTCAAGATGCTATCCATGCAGAACTGTCCAGAAGGAAATCAACAGAAGTCCTATCAGCTCCGGGGAGCTTGAGCACAAAAGAATTAAAAATCCAAAGTTATAAAACACCAGTGTTCCAGTAAAACTATCCAATATTAAGATTTTAGTTTCAAATGGGAAAGTCTACTTGAAATTTCGAGGGTCAACCTGATTTCAAATTCTGATAGACCTGATGTCTACCAAGTGTCAATAGTTGAGTGTCAAATCCAGCTGTCCAATACATCATCACCTGTATACCTTTAACACTGTTCATGCATTATTTGTACACCATCATTTAACATTCTGTTGTATGCAGGGTTGCTGTTGTCTTCATTCTGAGTAACAAGTTAACCCAGAGTGACGGTGGCAACCCTACTAAATTGTAAAATTCACTATCTCTTGCATATTTTAACATCACTTGTACAGGGACATATTCTGTAAAATGCTGATTTGCCAAGCAGAAATCAAAGAGACATTCATTTATGTGTATAGAATACATAGTCAGTGTCTTATGATACAATCTTATATTTTGTCTTTCTATCCCTAGCTGAAAACACTGACCATGTATTCTATTTATCTCGCAACATTAATTGAAAATCATACAATTAAAACTTTAGTAGTTTTGTTGTTCAATCTTTGTTTATCTGTCATTTACGTTATGCTGAATTTTGCCTGATGATGTATGTCAATATAACTACTCCAAATAGTTATGTAGTTCCAAACTTCAATGGATATGACAGCGATTTTATGAATTTTCGTTAATAAACTTATTCATTACAACATATAAAATCATTTCTTTCAACAGTCATTTATATTACTAAATGTAATTTTTAAGTAAATTCAGAAAAGTAATTCTGTCAAATTACTGTACATGCTAAAATACAGCTGTTTTCCGTCACTGCATGTTGCATGTGAATCCCCTACATAACCATAGTGTCCCTCAGATATTAAGATTTTCAGGTCATCTGAAATCAAATCTTTCAAGTTCTCTCTTGGATTAATGAAACAGACACAAGTATAAGTTTTCATTTATATTTTACGAGAGAAGGCAATAAGAGGAATGCATGCTCAAAGTGGAAATCTTCAAATCTGAGAACAGTATATTTGTACCTCTATGACTATACATGCATTAATTTATATTATATGTAGCAAAAGAGACAGTTGGCAGATATATCTGCTGTTCATTTAAAAATCAACAAATGTCACAGGATGACTAACAAAGTCAGTAGCTATAGTACATTGGCCAGGTTTTGGTATTTTTTCAGTGCAGATCACCTAATAGAGTTATGCCCCTTTTTAATGCCATTCATGAAATATGTTGTGAATCTCAATGCTGATATGACCTCATGAACATCAAAAAAATAATATAATTCTTGCCATGGCATGTATTTTGTGAGTTTACAGCAATATTTTTGGATACAGATTTTTCAAGAGAGACAAACTCCTGACAAAACTCATAGGTTGAGAGCTAGTTTAGAAAAATCCTTCAACATTAGCGAGTCTGGTACATGATGATAAGGTCAGCAACCAATAGAATTCAGGAAAATCAACATGGATTCCACTCATAGTGATATGAAATGATAAACAAGCGGTAAACAAATTCTATATCATTTGTCTCTTTGTATACTTATCTAAAGTTTTGTGCTTTAAATTAACTTAACACTAACATTAAACCAACACTATTGATCTGGCAACAAAAAATACAGTATATGTCACCGAGAACGAAAGTGTAAACATCACCTGGTTCATTATTTCATCAACGAAGAAATAATAGTAGATATCACATCTTGGTAAAGAATATCTCAATTTCACCATGCCTCAAAAAACAACACATTTGGACATTCTCAAAAATTAGATATCGTGACGAATCATTTGACAAATACCTTTGAAAATATCCCTTTTCTGTGTTGAAAATATCTACAGTATTTTCAATATATGACAAGCAGAGCCAGAGGTCATCCACAATAAAACACACATAAACAGTGAAATGATTCCAAAATAGCTATTCTAGTCACGATTCAACAATAGACCTAATTACACTGCCAATGAAATAAAATGTATCATCTTATAATTATGTTGATCTCGCGATACGCTCAGGGCACGGGGCCTGATACACAACCCTGTGCATAGCAATACACTACAGTCAGCGTGTGTTCGATATCGAGACAGTCGACAAGAAAATTTGTTCCTTATAGATATAATGGATGAATATTCATCTTAGTATGATTATCTCACAACCTACCTTCTTAAATGAATTCCTCAATGTGTCTTCAACTGTAAACAGCGAATGAAGACCAGCAGCGTTTCCTCCAACCTTCAGTTTCCGGAGATTATTCGGTGCTGAGTGAATTATGCAGCCAAGTCGTAACAACCAATCAACGAGCGTGTTACAAAACTTTGGGTCATGTGACACTAGTGGCGGCTAGCATGTAGCATCATAAACTGATAAACTTTCGATTTGATATCTATATATAAACATATAAGACACGCAATTCAAATTATGTTTGCTGTGCTATAACTTGTAAATTTTTAAACATGATTTATTGTAGTTAACACAGACTTAAATATATCATTGAATTGTACTGTACAACTACAAATCAATTGATAAAATTGATGAAATACTGAGCACAGGATAGTGAAAAAAGTCCGTGATAAAACATCAAGAAAAATGAAAGTAAACACACAGCATATATATAATGACATAACGTCACAGTTAGAACTGTACCCATGAAAAATAATCGATGCGGCATTTATACCATGTACGAGTGTTTTAAATGAAAACTGGATATGTATACAAGTACTTTTAGTAATAAGAACAATTTCCTTGACAAAAAATAATCTTTTAATGTTGTTTAATCATTAACTATCTTTACTTTCATGATATAAATGAAAGAAATGGGGAAAATAGGAAATTATATATACAATGTAATACAACATGAAAAATGTCATATTTCTAAAATTGGAACAAAAATGGCTGAACTTTAAAAGATAAGTGACTGAAAACAAGACTAATTTATGTGAACATTTTTTTAAACGAAGAAAATATATAAGATGTTGTTTGTTATAAACCGATATTTATGATGAGGTGTCACAGTCGTAGAGTAACTATCTGGTAGGGCAGCCTGAAAAGTTAAGGAGTCAATTGTCTCATTACAGCAAAATGATATTGGTGATGCATTCACAAAGAAGGCAAAGCTGACATTAATTTTATTTTGAAGTGTCCCAGTTTGTGTCTTCTGACTGTAAATTATCTTAGATAACACCATTTTATCTCGAACATTACACAGAGAATTGGTAATCAAGCTAGAATAACTTTTATATAAATCTCTTAATGAAACATATGTGTCTCAGCCCCACATTAGAAAATTCAATACTACATAAATCACATTTGACAACAAATTGTTGGAGGATTGCTGTCACTGTAAAGGCAATAAATCACATACCTGACACATTTAGTGTCTGTACCCATGTATAGGTGGGAGAATTGTAAACATCACTTTATGGGTAATTAGGTGAACCTCACTTCACCCTGAAACGTCCTACGTGTAGATTGAAATAAGATGGAGAACAAAACCATTATATAACTATGTTTTTGATGTTGAATTGGTTCTATAGTGAAAGGAGCAGCTTGGTGTGGTTTGTACCACGAATGTGTAATTTATCATCTGTAAAATATGTCCCTGTTTGTACTTGGTATTGCATACAGTCCCTGTCACTCAGCTGACGAGTCGATGTGACTTGTACATAGTGTTAAATACGGTCTCTGTCACTCAGCTGACGAGTCAGTGTCTCCTGTATATAGTGTTAAATACGGTCTATGTCACTCAGCTGACGAGTCGGTGTGAATTGTACATGTTGTTAAATACGGTCTATGTCACTCAGCTGACGAGTCTGTGTTAAGTACGGTCTCTGTCACTCAGCTGACGAGTCGGTGTGACCTGTACATAGTGTTAAATACGGTCTCTGCCACTCGGTTGACGGGTCGGTGTGACCTGTACGTAGTGTTAAATACGGTCTCTGTCACTCAGCTGACGAGTCTGTGTTAAATACGGTCTATGTCACTCAGCTGACGAGTCGGTGTGAATTGTACATAGTGTTAAATACGGTCTCTGTCACTCAGCTGACGAGTCAGTGTCTCCTGTATATAGTGTTAAATACGGTTTCTGTCACTCAGCTGACGAGTCGGTGTTAAATACGGTCTCTGTCACTCAGTTGATGGGTCGGTGTGATCTGTATATAGTGTTAAGTACGGTCTCTGTCACTCAACTAACGAGTCTGTTGAATACCGTCTCTGTCACTCAGCTGACGAGTCGGTGTGGCTTGGATGTCATGTTAAGTACGGCCTCTGTCACTTAGTTGACGAGTCCGTGTGACCTGTACAGAACGTTTAATACGGTCTCAGCCACTCAGTTGACGAGTCGGTGTGGCTTGGATGTCATGTTAAGTACGGTCTCTGTCTCTTAGTTGACGAGTCCGTGTGACCTGTACATAGCGTTTAATACGGTCTCTGTCACTCAGCTGACGAGGTGCTGTTTAATACGGTCTCTGTCACTCAGCTGACGAGGTGCTGTTTAATACGGTCTCTGTCACTCAGCTGACGAGGTGCTGTTTAATACGGTCTCTGTCACTCAGCTGACGAGGTGCTGTTTAATACGGTTTCACTGTCGATCAGTTGACGGAACATGCTTCTTTGGCTCAGTTGGTAGAACCTTGTATATTGTATTTGGAGATAAAACAAGAGATCCATAGGGCATGTATCGTTCACCTGGCTCAGTTTTGCTGAAATTGCTTCACCCAGTCTAAAGGAAAAGGAATTCTTCAGGTTAACATTAATTTCTTGCTTAGGCGCAATACCTCTGCCCCCGGAGGGTCAGCAAAACCATTTATACAAAAGTCTCATTCACTAAGAAATACTTCAGATCCAATTGGGACAGAATCCCAAATTCTAAATTTTTTAAAGAATCCGAAGAATTTACTCTATTTGGGCCTCGCAACTCCCGCTCATGGGGCCAAGGCCAATCTTTTATACAAAATTCAAACGATTCAGATCATATTTGGACAAAATTCAATCATTCCTACTGGAGAAGAAGGATTTTAAAACTCTATTTCTATTTCCCTAATTGGTTCCCGCATTTTGCACTCCAAGGTTCAGACCTACTGTTTATAGCGTATTGATTTCCCTTCGCCCAACAATGCTTCAGACAACATTTGGGCAAAATCCAATCATTCCTACAGGAGGAGTAAGATTTTAAAGAATTTGTGTTATTTCCCCTATTTGGTCCCGCCCTCCCACCCAACTAGGCATTAGATATACAAAATCGATTCCTCTTTACCTAAGAATGCTTCAGATCAAATTTGGGCAAGAATTTGCTCTTTTTCCCCTATTTGGTAAAATCCGCTGAGTCGTACATGACTAGTTGCAATTCGCAGAATAAAAGATATTGGCGGGCGGACGGAAGGACGGACGGACGGACGACGTCGGCACGAACAGTATGCCTATAGCTTATCGGCTATTATAAGAAATCTGGATCATTAATGCGTAGATTATGGTAAAAATGAGCTAAAGACCGTTGTTATCTCATGCTCCAATACACATGATAGGAGGGGACGTATATAATGGTAAGCTATCCTCTCTCTCAAACTGCGTAAGTGTGAAAATATACAGATAAATAACATTCTACGTAGGCGTGAAATAACACAGCGCGACACCTGTGCCCATGTGTTCAATGAGGTAAACCATGAAAGAGATGTCAACACGTGCTGAAATAAGCATATCTTCCATGTCTTGGGCAGATAAATGCAAATGGAGACGAGTCCGTTCAGCTGATTCTGTTGGTTCCGAAACTTTCCATGTCATCTTTTAATTTAAAAAGTCGCAATAGTTTTATATAACTCCTTTTACAACACTTTGTACCATCACTGATAAAATAATCTCGATTGAGTTAGTGATAAAATTGTGAGTTTGCTAAATAGCAATAATGACGTCACAGATTTTGTATGCCAGAGAAAATCCGAACGCGACCGGGAAAGACCGAGGCTTTGACGTGCCATCAAACTGACCCGTAGCCGAACGCACTGGCACTGGGCTTAAATCGCGTCGAGAGTCGAACATTCATATTACTACGTATAGGTAGGCGACATCTACATCAAAATACAAAGTCCGGTAAAATATCGTTGCTAGTGACCTTTAAAGTCACATTGACATATTGGAGTTGACATAGTTGTGGTATAATTTACTTACGGCAGAATTAAACGTCGATGAAGAAGGACATCCTGCTATACATGTGCACCTTCCAAACAAACAAAATTATGGACTTAAATCAAGTTCGTGGAAGAGATCCGCTGCTCTTTACCCGCATAAAGGTTTTCAGCAAAGCAACTGATTCTGAAAACATCTTGTTATTAATACGAATAGATATTGAAGATAAGTATGAAGCAATAAACGGATTCATTTGATATCATTGAACAAAGAAACAAAAGACAAATCATAATAAGAAAAGCTCCTTAGCACGCAAGGTAATTAAAACCAAAGACTTCTCTGGGGAAAAGATAAAAATCCTAATATTCAAAACGTTTTCTTACCGCCTTGATGCTCTTCGGTATAATCTGCAGACTATTGCGGAGCATGCAGTAAGAAAATGAAAGCCCTTTTTCACGCGATAAGTTTGATTATGAAATAACAAAGGAAAATGCGAGGGTAATCTGAAACAAAATCAGATATTTGTAATCTTCATACAGGTTACAAGAAAATCAGTAAACACACGGATAACGAGTAGGAGAAAGCCGGCTGTATATGTAACAGAGTCATGGGATGTCATATTCTAAAGATTACCAAGACATATCAAAAAGGTAATTACAAGAGTGACCTTAACGAATAAAGAAAGGAGAGACTTCTTCTAGACAACAAACACAATAGTCGAACCTTTCATATTGTTATATAATCAGCCAGCCAACCAAAGAGCGGAATGGTACTCACAGTCTAAAACGAGGCTCATTCATTCATTCATTCATCTGAGATAGATACATAGTAAATCAAAATGATGAATGCAAGGAATTCATGTTAACAATCCGCGGTATGATAAAAGTGGTCAAAATTAAATGGTTAATTGTTTAAAGTGTATGAATATAGCAAACGTGTCATGAGTCGCGAAGTGCGTGCTTGTTGTAATACCAGTAAGTCTTGTTCTCGGCCGAGAGGAGAACGTGTAGCTAAGGCAAGTCGACTAGCTACCATCTAGACGACTTCATTGCCCTCTATGTTCTCATCATGACGTCCAAATAAAATTTGGGCAAGGCCTTCATTGGATGCTTTGTCCAGGGTCAGGAACGTTGC